GATCTACATCAGCCACTACGAAAAAATAAGATGGGCCTTCCCACGCCGTGCGGAACGTGGGGGACATTTGACCATACTTCACCAGGCTGGTCAGTGTGGGTTTGTGAAGAGTATCTTATAGACCAGTGGTTCTCAACCAGTGGGGGGGGGGGGGGGGGGGGGGTAAGCGGGCCCCTGAGGGTACGTGAGGTGATTTATAACCGTGTGAAATTAGATAATGCACGAGAATCATTGGTGAATAATCACGTATGAATCTGCCAATATAAAATAACTATGATACAATTTTAATCCACACGGTCACCTCGAATGATATGAAAGACCTTTCTAAACTCATTGATCGTCAACAATGTGGTTTGCCAAGAGTAACCAGCGAACACGAACAAATGACGTGAAACATGCAGAGCGTCCGTTGATTTTGTTTGTATTCGATTCCAGTTACAAGCCAGTTAGGATGCCTCACAAAATTGACAATCGGTAAAAATATTGATGTTCACTAGTCATACATACATTTATTTATTTCTCAGAACCACGTTGGGCCAGGCAAAGGGAGAACTCGGTTGAAACTAAATTCAACAAGGGGTACAGTCGCCAAATGAAACAGATTGTGAATCACTGGTACTGGAACATTGGGAGCATCACATTCCATTACGTTAACTGGAATTTGCTTACAAGTGCCCTCTGCGGCCCACAACGTTCTGGCCCGATGCCGGTCCTGTGGCGGTGGTCGTCCATGGGAGCACGAGCCAGGCTTTACAAACCCCGCTTAGCTTTCGTGATTTGACGCGACGCGACCGGGCGCATTCCGGGTGGCTTGTTTCGCGGGGCACTTAGAGAGGGCGCTACTCTGTAATTCTGTTTGCCGCTGGAAATCCCGCGCGTTTTTTTTCTGCAGTCACCGTTTATTTACAAACAGGCGGCCGTAATCCACCATAAACATCTCTCTAAACGGCGAGCGGAATGCCACCGAAGATATTTTTGTTGTTGTTGTTGTTGGTGGTGGTGGTGATGGATCGTCGCGTGGTATTTTCGATGGCCCAAATTTGCTCGGCCTGGGAGATAGCCAGAAGATATAGAGTCCAGCAAGTGAGTTCCCGAACCTTCTGCGTGGATTATGTGAGCGATTCCACCCCTCCCACCCCTGGGAATGAAGTTAATAATAACTCTGACAATGGGAAAACAATAATTCTCAGAATCAGAATCTTTATGTATCCTGGATGAATCCGATGAGCTACGAAGCTCTGTTTCACATGTCCAGTAAAATATATATAGCCCCTTGTCAATCCACCGCTGTGGCTGTCGGTCATTTGGGGGCAATTGTGACCGTACGTCAACAACGTTCGAATCAATCCCGTACCACACCTGGACGGTGTGACGCGCCAAATCGGCAGAGATGACATCGAGTTCATCTCCATTGACGCAACAGATAACAATGACCAAACATCTCAGCGAGGGATCCTCCTGAACGGAACAGACAATTTAGGTCCGGTGACGCCTTCTTCGACGAATAATGGGTGAGTAATTTTTTTTATTTTCTCGGAGCAGCGGTGGCGCAGTGGTTAGCGCACTGCGCCGATACCAACCCGGCCGTCTGAGTTTGATTCCCGGCGACGGATAACACCATCGGCGCGTGATACACTGAACGGGTTCTCGTGCTCACCTTTACCGACCCGCGAAGTATGGTCAAACAACCCCGATAACTGACATGGCATGGGGAGGCCTTCATCCAGCAGTGGATTGACAAAGGGCTGTGAACTACTGTAATTTATTGTCCTTCCCATGTCTTCGCTTTGAGAAGCGACAGAAAGCCAAACATCGCGCCTTTGGCACTGCTTTATCACTCACCCTCTCTATGCCCGCTCACCAAAGACAAAGATCCCGTATAGCCTTTAACAGACTGTTGTCGCAAGTGCTGTTTGCCAGCACGGCACACGAGGAGGTGGGTGGTCAGCACCACGCCCGGCCGCCTTTGTCTCCCTAGTGGCGACATTCACACATCGCACCGGGTACTCGAGGCTGAGTCGACCTAGGGGAGTCCCGTGACCGGTTCAGATAGATAATATAATCGTCACTGGTGTTGGCCGTGAGCATTAATCGAACTCGTTCGTAGCGCAGAGCGCTAACCGCTGAACCACCGCTCCCCCACACCACTCACCACCACCACCACTCTCGTCACTCCCCTGCCACCCCATCCTCCCCTGCCCCCCCCCCCCGCCCTCCCATGCCCTACCCCCGTCCCACAAACAATCACCGGGCTCTCCACAAGCGTCAGCGCGAGTACTGAAAGTCGGGCGAATCCACAAGGGCTTATCCGCGACCCCGGGAGTCAGAGGTCTCCTTAGCCGAGGCCCCGATGTCACCGGACTTAGGGAGCGAGCGAGGGGCCGCTCTGGCAGGGGATTAGGAGTGGTAGGGGAAGGGGGGAGGCGATTCTGTTCGGACTGCGTTAGCCGCCTCTCAAGAACCGTGGCAGAAGTGACCCTCGTCAGTTTAACACGGAGTTAAGCTTTCGCGGCCGAAATTATCCATAATAGACGGGTTCCTTTTTTTGGGGGGGGGGGGGGGGTGGGGGGGGGGGTTTAAATCGCGTAAATTTGAATGTGTTTACGTGACAAACCTTACTCATTTGGCTGCGTCGAGTGGTGGCGGGTTTAACGGCACAGTTATATTCACGCGATGCCACCCGTTGCTCTCAACTGCTTAGACGTGGAGCTCGTTCATAACCAACCGATAGGTGATTTGGGCCCAGTGGGGACCCGGAGTGCAGAGTTGTATACGGAGGGATGTATCGTTATCATCGTTATCATCATCATCATGATGTGCAGCGTAGATCATCGTCGTCATCCATCGGGGCTTCGTCACAATCGGGTCGCCGTTTGTGCACGGTGTCCGACGTTTCGCTCACCGTGCTGGGCGCAGTTGTCATCAGTTCCCAAAGCGAAACGTCGCGCAGCTTGTCAAATGGCACGATTCGTAATTATTATTATTATTATTCTGTCTCCTTAGGCACGGACGGATGGCCGAGCGCGATTGTTTATATCACGATTTATAATTCTAAGCCCTTTGTTAATCCACTGCTGGATGAAGGCCCTCCCCACGCCGCTGCGGGTCAGCCGCGGTTGTGTCAGCGCCGGTCGGTGACGAGGAGAGCCCAGGACCGGTTTCAGACTTGGCACAAATGTTAGCAGCCATGGCTGGGAATTGAACTCGGTGCCGCCGGGTTCGTGGCACATTACGTTAACCGATGCCAGCGCTCCGCCATAACATACCTACCCAGACGAAACGGTGCGCGTATGGAGCAGCAATGTTGATGCAAGGGAACACAACCGGTCGTGCTTTTGCTCGACTGGGCGATTCGCTGTACTGTCTTACTGTGTTTAGGGAACAATGTACGTCTCTAACAGTATTTTTTAATTCATGTTTTCTCTCTGTTTACATGAAATCCCGCTCGTTGCGGCGTCACGCCGGAATTGATGAGCGGTGGCCCCAGGACCCCCTTGCGAGCGAGATGTGAATCTGCACGTGCTCTCACCTGGTTAAATAAGATCCCTTATCTCTCCAACACAGCCCCGGAATTGTTCACGCCCACCTCACCCACCCGCCCAGGCCCCACCTCCCACATTACCACTCCCCCCCCCCCAATCCAACACCGGCTGCTCGCGAAATCCACATTTGAGTGACATTTCAGTTGCGATAACGAACACCAAATCATTGCCTACTGCATAAATAATGAGACACTAGGGTAAGGTGATGTAATGTCGGCTTATGTTGTTGCGCATACTGTATATATGTTCCCTTTGACGACGCGAGCGGAAGATACCCCTGCGATGACTGACAAACTCGATTAGTTCATTTACAGATTTTGGGTCTATCCGCTGCTGGATTGAGACCTCTCCATGCTGCGTTGTAAACGGGCGGTTGTTTGGTCATACTTCATCACGCTGGTCAATGTGAGCTGGTAAAGAAGGCGGCTGCCCCAAACGGATTCAGACATCACTTGCCACTGATTGTCAGCTGTGGCCGCCTGGTAGTAAATGCATAGAGCAGTTGCGCTAAGCACAGCACCACCTTCTTGGTTGTTTCGGTAAAGTCACCACGTAGAATTCTACGTGGTGACTTTACCGAAAGAACCAAGAAGATGAATCCCTGCAGTCACGAAATCTTTCAATCGAAATTTAACCACTGCACCACCGTTCTCATCCAGCGAGTGATGGTGCGGCACTAATTTCCTGTAACACTCATGAATTGAAAATCAATATGAATTTACCAAACATCCCAACGCGGTACCAGGTTCATAGTGCGCCAGCCACTGCGGCAACGCTCCCCAATCAATTACTCAATAACATCATTCACAACGGACCGCCAGTGCGGTGGCATAAGAGCTGTTGCACGATGATTTAAGCGTCCATCATTCAGCTCACGGAGGGGTGGGAGGTGGGGGGAGATGCAGGGGAGTGCGATGGAGAGAGAGAGAAAGAGTGGCCAACCACTTCACATTCTGTACGCCCGGTTGATTTTCAAAAAAAAAAACCCCACAAAAGAGAGAAGACAGAGAGACATCGACGAGCTTGATCCAGCACCCCCCTCTCCACCCTTCAAAAAAAATGTGCAGGTGGTGGGAATTAGCCTCGAAGGAGCCAACCTCCCAACCCCGGAGGGTGAAGGTCGGCATTGGTCGGAGGGGAGGGGGGAGCACGGCATGGGGGAGGTTTGGTGGAAGGAGAGAGGAGACGCGCAGGAGAGAGAGGCGTTGAGTCCGGGCTCCCCGCCGGCTTTGCTGCATTAACCGCGCTGAATGGGGGACGCACGGCGCAGGCGGTCACGGGTGGTCTTAAGTGGCGCTGCTGCCATGCTCCTTGCGTTGTTTCTGGATCATTTGCTTTTTGCTTCACTTGCCCGGTTAGATGGAGGCCGGGGCGGCTTTGTGGCGTCAGGGAAAGGAAGGCAGTCGGGGAGGGGGGGGGGGGGGGTGGTGATGGGGGGGGGGGGGGCTTGTACCCGGAGTGCTTCTCGTGTTCATGCTCCCCTTGCTAATTGCGTTTCATTAGCGGCGGCGGCTTGGCCAAAGCTGCCCGAGCCGGTCAGTCACACGTCGCGAAGAGGTCAACGGTGACGGCGAGTAACGCGTCGCTGTAATCTGCAATCCGATTATTACCGTGCCAGATTAAAGAAAACGTACCCGCGATGCGAGACTGCGGTCACGGAACACGAACAGTTTAGCGCATCCTTGTCAATCGTTTCCCCCGACACCCACGCCCAGATTCTCTCCACGGAGGAATAGCCGCCCATCGCCTAAAACGCCCAAGGTCACACGCCAGGCATATTATTTCTCAGTGTGCTAACCACTAGGCCACCACTTTTACTCCACCCCGAGCCCGTATAACTCGGCCAAATTCAGGTTTACCTGAAATTGCTACCGATAACGTTGCGGCTTAGTTGCTTTGTTCCTACCTGAAAATGAACCTAAATATATTCATATTCTTTGGGTGTTTCGGTAAAGTCACGTAGATAGGTTCAAAGAAAATAACAAAAAAAATACAAAAAACGAAAGCTTTAAGTAAAAAACCCAATTATGTTCGGTATGTATGAATTACTGAATCGTCTTAGTCTGTTCGATATTCGTGCAGCTGGTGAGAATGCTCATTAACGAGAGCAGGTGTTGGATTAATGGTATCTCATAAAAAAGGGTAAGGTTGCAATTCTTAAAATTGTATTGTTAGTTTGCTGACATGTGCCAGAACTTAAATTTAGATGTCACTTCCCTTTAACCGAGCGATGTTCGCAGGCAACATATTAAACTTCTCCAAATATGTTTAGCAATTGTAAAGCAGTGGCTTTATTAAAAAAAGGTACAATTAAAACTTTTCAATAAACACTTTACAGGAGTTCGCTTTAAAATGCAGGTTATATAAAGAAATATTTTGTGACTCGAGCACCACACTTACTTTAATATATATTTGTAAAAACACAATAAATAAATGACCGCGTTTGCTATTTTGGACGAATCAAAGGCACGACATAAATTGTAACAAAAAAAATTAATGTAACAATTACGGAGCATATTTTAAGCATCGCCTCCTCCTTTGACAACCCCTTGGGGAAATTCTCGAGACACGACCAACAAGAGCACCACTGTTGGCGTACTCGGCTCCACGTCGGGCGTGAAATTGCGAACCAACGTTCCTTCAAACAAAAATACGGCATGCATAGCTGCGGCCGTATCCTTTGTGGACGGATCTTCCCACGTCTTGGGATGCAGATCCTACGCTTCGGGTCAACAACAAAGGACTTGGCGACGTTATTTTTGCATCTTGATAGGGGGTGAGGGGGGGGGGGGGAGGGATATAATAAAAATCGGAGCGCGTGATGCCGGACAGACGTCACTCCGCTGGGTCTCCTGGCCCCGCGCGTCCGGCACCGGCGACACCGCACCGACGATCCATCCGAACGACTCGCTCTCGAAAACACGATGACCCGGGCCGAGTAGCACCGTGGCGGGTCGCGGTGACACCACCGCGTGCCGCGCGTGGAACCCTTTTCATCAATATTTTTTATTTTTACTTCTTCCCCGAGTTTCCAAAACACTCACGTGGCGGGGGGTGGGCTGGGCCGGGGGCGGAGGGGTTGGAGTCCGGGGCCCAGCGTTTGGTGTTCAAAGCGTTTGTGATGGAAACCCCCGTTGACCAGGCTCGCCAAGGGCTTGTCGCCTCGGGACTGATGAAGGCGTTTGGTGGCGCGGCTACGTCTCATGTTTGTTTCCGTCCTTCCCCAATGAGCAGCGTCCGGGGTCTGCAGAAGGTCAAGCAGGCGGTGTCTGTGGTGTCTTGGCAGAGGCATCGTTGTCCTCCTCCTGTTGCTGCTGCTGCTGCTGCTGCTGTTGTTGTTGCTGCTGCTCCTCCTTCATCTGTTCCTCCGCTGCCTCTCGCTCCGCCGGTGCCGTCGGTGGTACTGACGCCGATGCCGCCAGGCCGGCCGGGGTCCCTGGGATCCACGTGGCGGCGCGATCGGCCTCTGCTCCCGACGCCGTACGGCACCGTCTTCCTGTGACAGCGCCAAACGCGACAAAGAGGTTTCAGAGCCTGCGCACGGGGTCAGGGGTTAAGGGTTTTGTGTCTTTTCAGGTTTAACACAACACACGCAAAGAACGTTTGAAAAGGCCCTCGGCGTTGTGCATAATACAGACACACAATCAGCAGTCCCCGAAGAACTGCATTGTGGTCCTATTGTTTTGGGTGACCGTGAAAATAAATTTGAGCGAATGTGACCGAATGACAGTAGCAGTGAGACATGGATGGACAACTGAGGTCTGGTTTTCGTTTTTATCAGGGCTCCTCAGCAAAGTAGTCACTGCTGCAAAGTCTGCCTCTGGGAACCATATACAGGGGTGCACAAATCTAAATCATGTAGAATAGAGCAGACACTGCAACACACAAGTCCACACTCAATGTTGTGCCACATTCGACCGCATATAAGTAAATTCAAACCGCATATAGCGAATTTTGGGTAGAAACAGGTGAACCGCATATATGCGATATCGTACAAATCGAACTCGCATAAAGCGAGGGAAACCTATATGTGGAGTTCCGACTTTGACACTATGGAGCCCATTAGCTTGGCTACTGGAAACTCTTAATTATCTTTTTAAATTACAAGAAAACACCACCATGGCAACAATAGTGCAGGAGTTTCAAACAATCCACAGGAGCGTGTAAAAAGCACTCGGCCTTCGCGTGTCTTTCAAGCTGGCGGTAGAGTTTAATTTCTCACTGACCCAAGTAGGCCTAGAGGCAGTACTGTAGAGTAGCCAGAGCCATAGTGGGTGGTATGCTTGACGTGGTGTGCTGGGAATGGAAACTCACCGACCCGGACAGACCCAGCTGAATTTAAGCCTTGGATAGTGGGAATATTCTGCAGTGATGATCTCGGATCATTAGGTGCGCACTTATCCACGACCTCCTCCCACACTTTTCCTCCCCACCACACCCACTCACAAACCGATAAATGATCACGATACAGGCCCACAATTCGATTCAGGAATGTAGTTTGCTTACAGTTGTTATGATCAACACAGCTATACTATACTAATAATTATCGTCAAAGAGAGTGATCACCAACGAGAGTGAAACTTTATTCTTGGTTCTTTCGGTAAAGTCACGTAGAAGGGAAACAATAAAATAATAAAAATATCAAACAATAAAATTCTCGCAACGTTTCGACTGCCACACAAGCAATCGTCATCAGGTGTGAAAACCACAGCAGTAAAATTTGAAAAAAGTGGCGGTTTTTTAACGTTAGCACCACGGAGAGCGATTTGACAGTTTGTTCAGATGGACGAGTCCATCTATGTTTGGAAAAGAGGAGGGGGGAGACGAAAATAATGGATGCGGTCTGAAAGCCACCATAAGCGTGAACAATCAATTAAGACCCGAAATGGTTGATCAAATCCTTCCAATGATTGCTAAGCCAGAATCCATTTTCTCGGTTGAAATTGTCTCTGTTTGTATATGTGGATAGCCTCATGAACGAATCTCTCATGGTAGCCAGATGGCTTGCAAAGAACCTCTGTCTTGGAGAAGTCGATGTCATGTGAAACTGTTAGAAACACTACCACATGAGGTGTCCGGCAAAGTCCTGCTGTGGTTCAAGCACCCGACTCACGATCAGAGGGTATGTATGTTGAACTTCTTTCGCACAGTACGTTGCCAGCCGTGCTAATCAGAGGTGCGGGATTAGAATCGCACTGTGGTTATATTATAATCGCACTGCGCTCATATTAGAATCCAACTGCAGAAGATAGTTTCTCGAGTTAAAATCCTGGTCAATTAAATGAGCACCGCTCATTTTTCGTGAGCCATCACCACGACCCCCAATTGCCCACTTATCGCGAGCACCGACACACAGTTTGTGCTTCGACTCTAAGAGCGTTGACGAGAAGAGTTAAACGCCGAGTCTCAAAAACTCGGAACGATGAATTTGGATTTTAAATTCACGTGCGGGCAAGTTGTTATTTTACCGCCCCATGTAAATCATCTGTTGGATTTCAGGCTTCCCCGTGCCACGTCGATTGCGGGGGCTGTTTGGCGAGACTTGGCCAAAGCCTGTCAGTGCGACGGGTTGGTAATAAAGACGGTTCTGATGTCACTCACCACTGTCGTCAGCCGTGGCTCGGAATCGAATTCAGGTCGTGGGGTTCACAGCGCGGTGTTATTATTTTAATTAGACTATTAAACTTGATATCACTTGAAAGGCATTTGATCTGAGCAGTGTGACTGTATAATTTACATTATGTGTAAATGTATAGAATGTACAGTGACACAAATCTATAACAGCTGTTACATTAATAGAGTAAAATTATTTTAATTAAATACATAATTGAGTCTTACACACGATTATTAATTCAATCTATTCATCAGTGTATCTGACACAGCCATTGTGAACTTACTGAGACAGAGACACCCAACCCCAGGGCTTGAAATCAGCAGTGCTGGCTGGGTGAATGTGACACAGCCAATGTGAGCTCCATGAGAGAGACAGAGAAAACCACACCTAGAGCTTGAACCCAGGAATCTCAGCAGTGCTGGCTCGAGTGGACGCAACAGCCATAACGATCCCTTTGAGTTGTGCCACCTCTGCAATTACGATGATGCCTGGATCTAAAATCTGCGTCAATAACGGTGAGTTTCTCTGAATCCCCATACGTTGCTGAAGCGTCGCTTAACCCACAGCATGAAGTCAACAATCACTGAAGGGCTCTCAAGAGGCGTTCCAATTGCAAAACAAAAACACGTGTTCTTAGGGGACACCCACGTCTCGTGTTCCTGTCATATTTGGCTTACTTGGCTGCCTATGACCAAAACACCTAGAATAATGCTGCCGACTTTGTCAGATCTTGGAAACTAAGCAGGATGGAGTGTGGTCAAGGGTTCTGCGGTGGCGAGATGTTAACTACCTCGCCTGGTATGCAGGAGGTTGTGGGTTCAATCCCGACCCTGGTCGCGTGGATTTTTCTCTGGGTTCTCCGGGTTTTCCATCCACATTTAGAACACATGCGTTTAGATTATTTGGCTGCTATAGATTTCCACTTGATAAGCCACCTCACTGAGCAATAATTTGTGGCCAGGTAGCTTCTGAAAAAGAACTTAGTGGGCCTTTTCTGTTAAAATTAAAATCGTGTATCGTTTTAGTTTCAAAATATCTGGAATAATGCCCCCGATTTTGTTGCATCTTGGAAGCTAAGCAGGTTGGAGCCTGGTCAGGGTCGTCCACTTTGGGGAGAGAGGCGGGAAGGGGTGTTGGTATGTCACAGGCCATTTGAGTTTTTTTTAAAATGAATGCAGCACTGCAAGTAAAAAAAAACATCCTACTATTCTTGATGTATATTTCGTTTTAGATACATTTCACATTATACTTGGATAGGGTGGAGCGGTGGCACCTTGATTAGCGTGCCACCGCTATTGACCCGGCAACCACAGTTCGATTCCTGGTCAGGGATAGCATGAGCCGTGGTGCCCCCTGCCCCACCTCCATCAAATCCTTGCTGACCAAGCATGGTGAAGTATGGTGGAAACAAAAAACCATGATCCCACATGGTATGGCCTTGGGTGGGTGACCTCGATGCACAAGGTGTTCGTAATATTAATTAATGTACAAACCTTTGCCAATCTACTATTGGATGAAGGCTTCCCACACATAATGTCGGTGTAGGGCTTATTCCATAGCTAATAATTTTAATCCAGATCATCACCGATGATAAATCCTCTGCTGGATGGAGGCCTCCCCAAGCCACTGCAAAACGATCCTGTGATGCAACAATTTACCCAGCACCTACACGTCAGCTGATTTGATCGCTCCATCTCTCTATTCGGACGCACTCTCGTATTCGTTCCATTCCTTGGCTGCCGCTCCATCGTTATTCTCGGTGATCGTCCCTTCGAGCGACGCATCCTGCCCGAGCTCCACTTTTACTTGCCGAACAGTTTCGAACGGCTGCCCATTAACCTTCGTCTGCTCTCTAATCCGCGAGTTACTCTTTCTGCCTCCCAATGCATTTAATAGCGGTCGATTGTGGCGAAGTGAACCTTGTGCGCGCAACTCGATGCGCGCTGCATTCACTCAGACGCACAACGCGCGGGTGCGTGCGCGATTTAGTGAGGGCCGTCTCTGACGCCCGTCATTAACCCGAGTTGCCTCGTCCTTTGCGGCAGCGTTCTTGACGCAACAGACGCAAGCGCCAATGCGCCGATTGCGATCTCTCGTTCAACCCGCTCGTTCGCTCACCTTAGGCTCATCATCTCACTCGTCTCGTTTTCCTCGCTCCGTTTCTCACATCGCTCATCCAAATGTAAAGATCCCCCGTATAGCCTGTAACAGACTGCTGGGGCAAGTGCTGTTCGCGAGCACCTACGAGGGGCCGGCACGTTACCGGAGGGGGTGGGTGGCCAACACTACGCCCGGCCGCCTTTGTCTCTCTGATGTTGACACACAGCACCAGGTACTCATTTAAGACTGAGTCGACCTAAGGGAGGCCCAGAACCGGTTCAAGATATTCGTCACTGTGATTGGTCGTGAGCGAGGATTGACCTCGGGTCACCAGGTTCGTTGCACAGTGCACTAACCACTCCTCCACTCACTCACTCCTCCACTCACTCACTCCTCCACTCACTTCTCCACTCACTCACTCACTCCTCCACTCACTCACTCACTCCTCCACTCACTCACTCCTCTACTCACTCCTCCACTCACTCGCTCCTCCACTCACTCCTCCACTCACTCCTCCACTCACTCGCTCCTCCACTCACTCACTCCTCCACTCACTCCTCCACTCACTCACTCCCCCACTCACTCATCCACTCACTCACTCACTCCTCCACTCACTCACTCGCTCCTCCACTCACTCCTCCACTCACTCACTCACTCGCTCCTCCACTCACTCCTCCACTCACTCCTCCACTCACTCCTCTACTCACTCACTCACTCCTCCACTCACTCACTCGCTCCTCCACTCACTCCTCCACTCACTCCTCCACTCACTCCTCCACTCACTCACTCATCCACTCACTCACTCACTCCTCCACTCACTCACTCGCTCCTCCACTCACTTCTCCACTCACTCACTCACTCCTCCACTCACTCACTCCTCCACTCACTCATCCATTCACTCACTCACTCACTCCTCCACTCACTCACTCACTCACTCCTCCACTCACTAACTCATTCATCCACTCACTCGCTCCTCCACTCACTCACTCACTCCTCCACTCACTCGTTCCTCCACTCACTCACTCCTCCACTCACTCCTCCACTCACTCACTCCTCCACTCACTCCTCCACTCACTCACTCCTCCACTCACTCATCCACTCACTCATCCACTCACTCATCCACTCACTCACTCACTCGCTCTTCCACTCACTCACTCCTCCACTCACTCCTCCACTCACTCACTCCTCCACTCACTCATCCACTCACTCACTCACTCACTCACTCCTCCACTCACTCACTCGCTCCTCCACTCACTCCTCCACTCACTCACTCCTCCACTCACTCCTCCACTCACTCCTCCACTAACTCCTCCAATCACTCCTCCACTCACTCGCTCCTCTAGTCACTCCTCCACTCACTCACTCCTCCACTCACTCCTCCACTCACTCGCTCCTCTAGTCACTCGTCGACTCACCTCTCCTCATCTCTCCTATTTGGCACTCTCTCGTTCCTCCCCTCTCTCTCTCTCGTCCTTCCCCTTACAATATTTATTTTTTATCTTACACTCTCGTCTTATCTCTCCCTCTCTCTCATTTCATTAATCTAATCTCTCACTTATTTATTTCCTCATGAATTCACATCGTCTCTCATCCTTCATAGTATTCGTATTGTCTGTCACTCACGAGTCCTCTGCCTAAACTTCTCTCTTTTCCCATTCTCTTTTTCACAAACTGTAACTCTCTCTCATCTCTAATTCAATCTCTCATACATTCATATGTTTCATCTCATTCTACCATTTAGTCCATTGTTAATTATCTCACCCACTCATCCAACACTCCGTCCGCTCTCACTGCTTCTCTAAATGTATCTAACTCATCAATCGTTTCTCTCTTTCATTCATTTTTTAAAAATTCATTCATTCTCATTCGTTGTATCATTCATCGATCCTCTTGTTCACTAACCCTCTCTCATGCACAGAGGCTCTTTCTCACACGTCCCACCCATCATCGCCTCATTCTCATGTATTCACTCATTGCCCAGCCCTCGCTCATTCATCTGTACCCTCTCACATCGTCGTTCAATTAAAAACTCAATCTTCTCGCCTCTCTCACATTCTGCCATGTTCCTGTTGTCATTGTCTTTGTCACTCACTCTCACTAACCCCCCCCCCCCCCCATTCCACCCTATTACCCCCTATCATTCATACACTTATTTTCTCATCTCTCATTCATTCATTCATCCTCGTATATGCTTTCTATCATTAATGTATTAATTTGTTCAGTCTCACCCTAATGACAATACGTCATTCGCCAACCATTGTCCCTCTCTCTTGCTCTCATGCAAAGATTCATCCTGTCTCTCTCACTCACTCATCCTCTCATGAAGTCCCACGAACTCATTCATCTTCTCTCTCTCACGCATTCCCTGTCACCCTCCATCACATTCCCCCCCCCCCTCCTTCATCCCCTCTTTCTCCTTGGCTCTCCCCCACCCCTCTCTGTCTCCTTCACTCCCCCCCCCCTCTTAATCCCAGAATATGTGTCCCGTGTTCAAAGCTCCAGGAGGGACCTACGAAAAATAACCACCACCAACAACAACAACAACAAAAACCACCGAGAGAACGACTCACTCGGGCGAGTTGACCCAGATGATGTCGAGGTGGCAGTAGTAGATGCACTCCCTGTCGAGGAAGGTCGCGCAGGAGCATCTCTTGGTGCGAGTCCGCCCGGCGGCAGGACCCCCCGCGGCTGCTGCGTCTGTGCCCCCCCCCCCGACCCCCGGGCACCGCCCCAAGCAGAGAGCGACATTGTTAGCGGGGGACAGGAGAGACAGATTAGACATGGGGGAGCGGCGGCTTGCTTCGCTCCAAACCCTTGTCGACATTGTTGGCGAATGTATGAATCGGTCCTGGCCCCCCCCTAGGTCGACTCGGCCTTAAATTAGTTCCTGGTGTGGTGTGTGAAGCATCAGTAAAGGGGTGACAGAGGCGGCTGGTTGTGGTGCTGGTCACCCACCACCTCGTATGCGGTGCCGGCCTCAATAGGCACTCGCTAACAGCAATCGCCCTAACAACCTGTGAAGGCTACACAGGGGATCTTTGCCTTGGTGTGCACTAACGCTCTCTGTATGTGTACGTGTGTGCGTGTGTAGCTTCAGGAGCGGCAGTGTAGCGGTTAGGGCGCTGCGCGAAACCGAGTTTGAATGCCGCTCACGGCCGATTATCTGAACCGACCCTGGGCCTTCCCTAGGTCGACTCAGCCTCAAATGAGTACCTGGTGCGGTGTGCAAAATGCATAGCCACTGGGGAGACAAAGGCGGTCGGGCGTGGTGCTGGCCACCCACCCCCTCGTGTACCGTGCCGGCCTTCGTAGGTGCTCGCTAACAACACTTGCCTCAACAGTCTGTTACAGGGCTATACGGGGGATCTTTGTCTTTCTAGCTTAAGAAGACCCGAATTATCCCTGAAATTAAACCGTCAACTGATCCAGAGGACCCCCCCGCCCCCCGGGGAGCAGAACGGACACTTAAGAACAACTCATGATCCCCCGCGACCCATGACCTCTCCGTGTCTGCAGCTGGGCTTCTATTGCAGAGTTGACGCGCAACAATCCAATTCGATGCGCGCGAGAGTTACCCTCGGTAAGTCCAATTAAACAATGGGTGAACAGCGCAATTAAGCCCGTTCGATTAACACAAAATCTTACAAACATTGCGACTTGTGGTGAGCGTGTCTATCGTCGGAGCCGAATTTCAAACTCGGTATTTTCCGGAAGACTGCAAGGCTGGTTCGGAGTTGGGAATATCGGCGTAAGGGACTACCACAAGAGTACAAGGGATCCTTAACAATGATAATAATAATGATGATGATCCTATATTATTGTACCTAATGTCTGCAAATCTCAAGGAGAGGTTAACAGGAATATAAGGCACGGTGAGGCCAACATGAGGGGACATGGATGTGGCTGGGTGTCAGCAATTCCTGCAACAGCGTCTCGGCTGAAATGAATCCCTAACGGTATTGTTATGAAATGACCGTGATGTGGGGTCATGTCTTGAATACATCTTCCACGCGGTGCTGTGCATGCACATCAGTGAATTCTGATGTAGCAGATTGCATGGAAACGAACGCCTCTGTGTTTGCGTGTTGTTTATGCGTGTTGTGTGTGGGGAGCAGTCCTGCAGTATTTGGCCGTAATAGATGCTCGCGAACAGCACTTGCCCCGAGTCTGTCAAATGTTGTACGGAGGATCTTTGTCTTTGCTGCTACGCCCTTGGTAAGTGCTCGTAACCAACACTTTTCGCAATAGGGATTTGTGTCTTCTTCTATTAGTGTTTATGGATGCGAGTGTGGGGACACGTGTGTGTGTGTGTGTCTGTATTTACGTGTGTTTATGTGCGCCCGTGTGCGTTAAGATGTATTTTTTTTGCGTGGGGAGCGGTGGCGTAAAGATTTGCGCCACGCTCCACGAACCAAGCCCATCCGAGTTCTATTCCTGGCAATGGCCACTAACATCAGTGGCAAGTGGTGTCTAAACCTATCCTCCCCTAGGTCGACTCTGCCCTAAACGAGTTCCAGGCCCTGCGTGTAAACTACACGAGCAAGACACGTGCGGTCTCACGTGGCGCTTGCCACAGAGCCGTGCAAAAACCTAAATGGGTGCTCGCAAACACCACTTGTCTCCCGGTCTGTGCGTCGCGAGCTAAAACGTGTCACGTCGTCGCCAACACTGTGATCCACATTTGTCGAAACAAAGTATTTGTTGCTGCTGCGTTGGCAGTGGTGCACGTGCACAATGAACAATCACAACCTCGCATTCTGAAAACACTGCCTGCAAAGTAAAACAATATATTAGGCGACGTTTCTGGCAATGGCGCTTATTTACAACACGCCTCCCAGTTATATGCTATGAAGGGCGATCGTTCCAAATGTCGCCTATTCTATAAATGCTTTTCTTTTCTGGCCAATTGTTGTGTCCGTGTGCGTGATTGTCACGTGTAAGTGTGTGTAATTCTATGTACACATGCATAGTCACAAACGGAACACTGCATTCAACACAGCACACAATTGTGATCGATGACTGCAACCTAACGTCGGGTTTTCGAAGCCAATAATGATAATTGATGTCTGAGTAAGGCCTCGTCCAAAAATCAATCACGAATCATAATCATGCAGCACATTCACCGAGACAGTCTCGAATGAGTCTCGACATTTGTGCAATGAGACGTGAAATGTTTCGCACGTGGGAGGAAACCGGAGTACCTGGAGAAAAGCCACCGATTTAAGGGGATAACATTCACGCTCAAACGGAACAGTGCTCATGTCCGTTGGCAGCTCCAGTCTGGTGGTGGAAATTCCCCATTGCTATGGCAGGGCCCCATCTAAAAAAATGCAGCCACCGTTGATTTGACACAACGTGCTCTTTTAAAAAAAAATCTACTCTGGACGCAAGATGAGCCGAGTGGAGCCTTCCGATTTCACTCCGCCGAATGCGTATGCCAATCCACTGCTGGATGAGGGCCTCCCCAATGCCGTGGAGGTTAACATGGGAGTAACCCCGGAGAGTTAAAAATCAAATAAATAATCACACAGCGAACGGCGAGTATCAGCGGGTAATTGTGGCAGCATCTAGGTGGCTGCAAGGATCACGTGACCCCAACGCGGAGCGTAACGACGACGCGCGGATCTAAAAAAAAATCGACGTTTACACGCTCGGGTCGATGTGTGTCATCTGTGAGTTTAAGAGTTGACATTAATCGTCATATGTGAGTTTAAGAGTTGATCGTCATCCGTGAGTTTAAGAGTTGACATTAATCGTCATCCGTGAGTTTGAGTTGACATTAAACGTCATCCGTGAGTTTAAGAGTTGACATTAATCGTCATCTGTGAGTTTAAGAGTTGACGTTAATCGTCATCCGTGAGTTTAAGAGTTGACGTTAATCATCATCGGTGAGTTTAAGAGTTGACGTTAATCATCATCGGTGAGTTTAAGAGTTGACGTTAATCGTCATTTGTGAGTTTAAGAGTTGACGTTAATCGTCATCCGTGAGTTTAAGAGTTGACGTTAATCGTCATCTGTGAGTTTAAGAGTTGACGTTAATCATCATCCGTGAGATTAAGAGTTGACGTTAATCGTCATCTGTGAGTTTAAGAGTTGACGTTAATCGTCATCTGTGAGTTTAAGAGTTGACGTTAATCGTCATCCGTGAGTTTAAGACTTGACGTTAATCGTCATCCGTGAGTTTAAGAGTTGACGTTAATCGTCATCCGTGAGTTTAAGAGTTGACGTTAATCGTCATCTGTGAAATTTCGATTTAAAGCTTTCGTGACTGCAAGGATTCATCTTCTTTGGTTCTTTCGGTAAAGTCACGTAGAATGAGAATAAAATAATAAAATAACACAGGTCTGTACCTTTCACCTGAAGACGGCCGCTTGCGTTGTGGCCGAAACGTCGCGAGAATTTTATTGTGTTATTTTATTATTTTATTCTCATTCTACGTGACTTTACCGAAAGAACCAAAGAAGACGTCATCTGTGAGTTTAAGAGTTGATATTAATCGAGTGTGGCCGTTAACAGCACTGCTTCATGGACGAACCACAAGGATGAGTCTCCCATCCACAGGGTGCCAGGCGCCTTGGAGGGGCAGTACAACAAGCGGGTTACTGACCCGACCTTCGTATCGCATTTCGGACTGCTATCCACGTTTGGATTGCGTGCGGTTCTGCGAGTATTTTCGTTTAAACCCACTTTAATAGGTTGATTACAAAGATATACGGAGTCCGTTGTCAATCCACTGCTGGATGAAGGCCACAGGACCGGTTCAGATTCATTCATTCTTCGCTGAATGCATTGCGCTCACGTGACCCTAATATATCAGATATCGCTCGCCACTGATGTTAACCGTGGCCGGAAATCGAACTCGGGTTTGTTAAGATTCGCGGCGCAGTGAGCTAACCACGGCCGCCACAACTCTATCCCCGGGCAATGACATGGAACGATTTGGAATTAACAAGCAACGCACGAGTGTTATTTGCGGTGTAATATGACGCTGCGTATTTTCGGGAACGCTGGCTTAATTGGAGAAGGGCATTATCGGCCTCGGGCACTACCTCTGGAGTATATGGTATGCCTATCCATAATAATTATAGACAGTAGAATGTACCCTACATTGCGAGAATTATGAGGAACGACGTGATGGAGCACCGGGAGGACAAAACAAGGCGGATGTGCAATTGGTGGGGTGCCAACAACATTTCTGGGACAGCATTTTCACGGAATGTTACGGCTGGACGTACGAAGAGCTGGCGTTATGGTGACACCGGAGGGCTTTGCAGTGTGTCCGGAGCGTGTGAGTCTTACCCCCAGCGAGGAGTTGAGCCACCAGGGCGGACACAAGCGCTGCGTACAGGCACAGTCGCATGGCTCAGTCAGCAAAGTCCCACAGTTGCGAGGAGACGCCTGCACCAGCAGTAGCAGCAGCACTACCGCCAGCAAGTGACAGCACAACCACTAGGAATCACCCACCACCTGTAGCCAGTACCGGCACGAGCACCAGTACCGGCAGTAGCAGCACCACCAACAGCAGCGGAGGCAACAGCACCGCTAGCACTGACAGCCGTACCAGCAGCAGCTCCAACAATCACCACCACCACTAACAGCGGCACAAACAGCAGCGCCGGCAGCAGAAACAGCACCAAACGCGTAGCTAGCACAGAGGCAGAGAGGCGAAGTGTGGTCTGAGCCACGTGGATGCGCGGCTGGGTTTATATACCCGAGTGAGAGCACGTGTTTGTGTGTGTGTGTACGTGTGAGTGTCCGTGGGGAGCGGTGGCGCAGTGGTTAGCGTGCTGCGCTACGAACACACGGCGACCCGAGTTTAATTCATGTGGCAAATATATTGGAGTCGGTCCTGGTCCTCCCCTTGGTCGACTCAGTCTTAAATGAGTACCTGGTGCGGTGGGTAAATATCAGCACTGGGGGGACAAAGGCGGCCGAGCGTGGTCCTGGCCACACAATCCTCTCGTGTGCAGTTCCAGCCTCCATAGGTGCTCGCTAACAGCACTTGCCCCAACAGACTGTTAAAGGCTATACAGGGAATCTTTGTCTGTACATGAGTACATTCAAATTCACATGCAGACGATTGGGACTGCGTACTGAAAGCTGGCATTTGGCACGAGTATTATCAGAGTAAAATGTAAATAATTAAAGTAACATTCTTGAAAGCAAAAATAACAAAAACTCAACAACAATCGTCAATAACACTGCCACCTACCCTTAAAAGAATAAAGTATTGACTAGGTGACGTTTGATGCATTGGTCCTTGCTCACACCACATAGGGAAGCCAGGAGGCAGAGTGCAAATAATAAACTATATATTTAAAACTATAAACTATATATATTTTTTATTTTACCAAGAAAGGCCCACTGAGCTCTATACAATATCTATTTTTCAGAAGCGACTTGACAACAAATGATAGCTCAACGAAGTGGCTTATCATGTGGAAATCCACTCGATCACGGGGAGAAAGACACCGCAAACTCTACATATACAGGCGTCAGGGTCGAGATCGAACTCACGATCTCCTGTATACCAGGCAAGGGAGTTAACATCTCGCCACCGCGGTGCCCCAATAACAATAGCAGCAAAACAGTTATTCATAATCATCAGCCATGGTCAATCCACTGATGGATGAGGGCCTCCCCGCCCCGTTCGGGTTGTGGGAGTTATTTGACCATACTTCCCCACTCTTGTCAGCGTGAGTTGCTGAATGCGGGGAGCACAGGACAATACAGTACACACAATTGCTTTTTATCTGCCGACCCACATAGCCTGTTTGTGCGATGTGATCGCCCATCCAAGCACTATACAAGCTCAACCCTGCATGACACACACACACACGTGTGTTCTGGACATCTGTGATAAAGAGCTTCACAGCTCATCGGATTCCTCCAGAATAAGTAAAAGGCTCCATTCGCTCTTTCTCTCCCCCGGCCGCTTCGGGGTGGATTTCCACACAACTCTCTCTGTGTGTCCCTGTTTGTCAAATTCCACACTTAACTTCTAATTTTAGCAATCTTTGGAGATCGTAATCAACCAGCGTATCCGTTAACTGTGTATTAACCGACTCTCTGTGTTGCATTTCCAAAAGATTTGCTAAATTTTGTTTTCTAAAACTATTTATCTCTCTAAAATTTACCAGGCTCTCATAGGGCCATTCGATCTTCTTTCCCTCGGTCGCGTCGGGGTGGATTCATTGACATGCTAATTTCTCTGCTCCAGCAGCTGCCCCAGCAGACCCACACCTCTCTCTCTTCTAACCCCCTCTCTCTGTTTAAGGCCTCGACACAGAGACATTGGGTATCTGTGTGTGTCTCTCTGTCTGTGTTTTCTCTCTGTCTCTCTCTGTGTGTCTCTGTGTTGTCTCTCTGCTTGTGTGTCTCTGTGTTGTCTCTCTCTGCTTGTGTGTCTGTCTGTGTGTCTATGTTGTGTGTATCTCTCTGTGTCTCTGTGTTGTCTCTCTCGGCTTGTGTCTGTCTGTGTGTCTATGTTGTGTGTCTCTCTGTGTCTGTGTTGTCTCTCTCGGCTTGTGTCTGTCTGTGTGTCTATGTTGTGTGTCTCTCTCTGTGTTTGTGTTGTCTCTCTGTGTCTCTCTCTGTGTGTCTCTGTGTTGTCTCTCTCTATGCTTGTTTGTCTGTCTGTGTGTCTATGTTGTGCCTCTCTCTGTGTCTCTGTGTTGTCTCTCTGTGTGTCTGTGTTGTCTCTCTCTGTGTGTCTATGTTGTGTGTCTCTCTCTGTGTGTCTCTGTGTTGTCTCTCTCTGCTTGTGTATCTGTCTGTGTGTCTCCGTGTCTGTGTTTTGTCTCTCAAATTTAGTCTACCTGATGACGGTTGCTGGTGTTGCAATCGAAACGTCGTACTCTATAATTTAATTAATTTTCTTTCTACGTGACTTTACCGAAAGATCCAAAGAGTAATAAGTAAAGGTTCTGATTTTGACGTGTCCGTATCGACCGGATACAAGCACAGTCGCATTTAGACCCAATCAAAATACACGCCGTGTTGTCAACTCGTGGGGCCAAGTGTTGTTATTGATAAACTACGAAGGCTCACGCCTATATATCCTGTACATACAGGCATATTTGTGTAGTGGCGTAACGCGCTCGGGGTTTGCAAACAGCAGTTGCATTATGCACGGGGTTGCAGACAGTGAGGTCAGCTAATGATAAGCAGGTGCAGGCGGGTGACCTGGGTGACAGCAGACGGAGAGAGGCCAGAAATTAGGGAAAGAGACAGTGATTGGTTGGCTGAAAATGCAAACGCGGAGTAGGCGCTACGGTGGCGAGAGATAGTCCCGTTAAGGGGGAGAACACGTGGGTGGAGAAGACGTGCGTGAGGCGTGGGGAGGACGCCGGCTTAATGAGGGCCATCTGGGGCCACTGAATGAGGAGGGGGATAAAAGGGGAACGTGTGAGGCAGAGGAGTTGAGTTGGTTGGAGTGAAGACAAGAGAGTGAATTCAAGAGAAGCCCGGGACCCCGCTCGCCACACCTCGTCCTCTCCAGCGGTGTTGGCTGATCCCCCGCTGGAGGCAAGGACAAGGTTGGAGGAGTGATGGTAGACAGGCTAGCAGTAGAGAGGCTAGCGGAGTGTATAGTGAGAGGCTAGCAGTGGAGAGGCTAGCGGAGTGTATATTGAGAGGCTAGCAGTGGAGAAGCCAGCGGAGTGTATAGTGAGAGACCAGCAGTGGAGAAGCTAGCGGAGTGTATATTGAGAGGCTAGCAGTGGAGAAGCTAGCGGAGTGTATAGTGAGAGACCAGCAGTGGAGAAGCTAGCAGAGTGTATAGTGAGAGGCTAGCAGTGGAGAAGCTATCAGAGTGTATAGTGACAGGCTAGCAGTGGAGAAGCTAGCGGAGTGTATAGTGAGAGACCAGCAGTGGAGAAGCTAGCGGAGTGTATATTGAGAGGCTAGCAGTGGAGAAGCTATCAGAGTGTATAGTGACAGGCTAGCAGTGGAGAAGCTAACAGAGTGTATAGTGAGAGGCTAGCAGTGGAGAAGCTAGCGGAGTGTATAGTGAGAGGCTAGCAGTGGAGAAGCCAGCGGAGTGTATAGTGACAGGCTAGCAGTGGAGAAGCTAGCGGAGTGTATAGTGAGAGGCTAGCAGTGGAGAAGCCAGCGGAGTGTATAGTGATAGGCTAGCAGTGGAGAAGCTAGTAGAGTGTATAGTGAGAGGCTAGCAGTGGAGAAGCTAGCGGAGAGGGCAACGTAAGAGAGAGTGAGCGGAGCGTAGCAGAGGAGCAGTACGAGTTGGGGTGCTGCGGCAGAGACGGGTGGTGTTGAACGCGAGAAGTTTTGAACGAATAAAGTGACACAGGAGAAGAATAAGAAGTTGTCCGTGTGAAATAACACCACTACACTTGCACAACGACAAAGATCCCCCCCCCGTGTAGCCTACACGGGCTGTTGGGGCCAATTTCTCAAAGTGAGCGTATAGATCATCAAGTTGGCACGATTCTTCACATCATCGCCACGTTGTGGCATGCTCGACCACTGTCGTTTCCCCAGTGCTGACGTTTACATGCCGCACCCTGGGTGCCCAATTAAGCCTGAGTTGACATAGGGGACGCCCAGGACCGGTTTTGTTATCACTCGCCACCGATGTTAGCTGTGGCCGGTAGTAAGTAGAACTTTTCCCTAACTACTGCGCCACCGCTCCCCATGAGTCCTAAATGATCCCCCGCATAGCGTAACAGACTGGCAGGGCAAGTGCTGCTCGCGAGCACCTGTTGGGGAGACTGCCCCCCCCCCCCCGTCTCCCCGTTCTCCTGTGACCCATCGTTCTCCTGTGACCCACCATTCTCCTGTGACCCACCGTTCTCCTGTGACCCACCATTCTCCTGTGACCCACCGTTCTCCTGTGACCCACCGTTCTCCTGTGACCCACCATTCTCCTGTGACCCACCGTTCTCCTGTGACCCACCGTTCTCCTGTGACCCACCATTCTCCTGTGACCCACCGTTCTCCTGTGACCCACCGTTCTCCTGTGACCCACCGTTCTCCTGTGACCCACCGTTCTCCTGTGACCCACCGTTCTGCTGTGACCCACCGTTCTCCTGTGACCCACCGTTCTCCTGTGACCCACCGTTCTCCTGTGACCCACCGTTCTGCTGTGACCCACCGTTCTCCTGTGACCCACCGTTCTCCTGTGACCCACCGTTCTGCTGTGACCCACCGTTCTCCTGTGACCCACCGTTCTCCTGTGACCCACCGTTCTCCTGTGACCCACCGTTCTCCTGTGACCCACCGTTCTCCTGTGACCCACCGTTCTCCTGTGACCCACCGTTCTCCTGTGACCCACCATTCTCCTGTGACCCACCGTTCTCCTGTGACCCACCGTTCTCCTGTGACCCACCGTTCTCCTGTGACCCACCATTCTCCTGTGACCCACCGTTCTCCTGTGACCCACCGTTCTCCTGTGACCCACCATTCTCCTGTGACCCACCGTTCTCCTGTAACCCACCATTCTCCTGTGACCCACCGTTCTCCTGTGACCCACCGTTCTCCGACTCTCCCCCCCTCGCGGCTGCCCCTCGTGGCATGATTTTAATGGCTGTACTAGCCACCTTGCAAACACACGCTGTGCCCTTCTCGTACACGCCAACCACGAGCTGCGCAGTGGCGAGAGTACCCACGTGGGCAGAATACACAGGACACCACAACTCGCAGGCTCACAAGTTAACGTCCAAGGCGAGCGCGCACGCGCGGGCAAAATATATACGCTCGTGCGAAAACGCAAGAAACCACAGCGAG